CTTGAGCCCAGGAGTTGGAGGTTGCTGTGAGCTGTAATGCCACGGCACTCTGCCTAGGGGGACAGCTTGAGGCTCTGTCTCAAAAAAAAAAAAAAAAAAAGAAAGTGACTTACCCAGCAAGTACTAAAGTTGGGATGGGAGCAAGTGCCTTGGCTGCAGGAGGCCCTGCTTCCCAGCAGCAGGTAAGGTTAGGGTTCAAGTTTACAGGTGAGGTTACAGACCCACGGTGCAGCTGTCTCCCCTACACTCCACATACCCTTGGCTTCTACCAGAGTCTTGGCGTCTGTTTAAGGGCTGAATCTCAAAGAACGCTGTGTTATGACTGGTGTCTGGTGTCGGAAGTGTTGACACTGCAGTCACACTTCCTTGTTCTGGGTCCTCCCTGGCGTTTCAGGTTGTTCTTTGTGATAGAATATGTGAATGGAGGGGATCTGATGTTCCACATGCAGCGGCAGAGGAAGCTCCCCGAGGAGCACGCCAGGTGGGTTTTTATTCATTGTGTGCTTGTGTCTGGGTCTTTCTCAGGGTTATGTGAGTTTTTATGTGCAGTGGTTAAAAATAATACATGAATTATTTTAATACTAGTTAATTCTTTGTAAGTCCTGTAGAGGCTAAGCTAGAAGTAAGTTTCCATTATTAAAACATGTGTAATATAATTATAGTATATATATTATATATAGTGTTCAGTGCTCCTAAGCAATTGAAAAAGTGTAAACAGTATTAAAGGGGAAAACTTTACCAAAACCAATTATTCTCAAGTATTTTGTCTATTCATCATCACCTATTTAAATAATGGATAAATTTACACTTACTAATCTTACCAAGTTTACAGTGATCCCTTTGACAGTTTTTCCCTAGCAGAGTGTGAGTCACCCAGACCTGCAGGAGCGTAGACAGCGCCTCAGGAACTGGCCCCTATGGGACTGGCCGCTCTGCTCAGGACGCAGTTTCTGAATTGTTCTGCCTTTGCTTTTTCCCCTCTAATCCTCTAAGTGTTGATAAATAAAGAAAGGAGTGCTGAGTATTAATTTTGGACCCTTGGTTTGATATTAATTTGCAAGGTTGTGGATTGTTTGTATGTTGGAGGAGGTAGGTGAGACAAGGTCATGACCTTGAATAACAGATTCGTTTTATTTATTTATTTATTTTTAAGTGATAATCAGTAATTTTCTTCCTTTCTACTTCTCAAGAGTAAAGCCCAGGGGCTGGGCACGGTGGTTCACACCTGTAATCCCAGGACTCTGGAAGGGTAAGGCAGGTAGATTGCCTGAG